GCCAAGTATGTATAGACTGCAGCACTTTCCATTTAACCCTGTGCTGTAATCTCCATTACTTTCGAGGATCCGGTCTCACCATTGCTGCCTGCTTGTCTTGATGAGACCTGCAAGCTCTTCAGGCACTGTCTTTTCTTACCACAATATCTCAGGGTACACCATTTTACATGCGTAACCATGTCCTGGCCAATTATTGCGAGCACTCTATAATGTGAATTGAAAATGACCAAAGACCAATTTCATTCCTTACCACAGGTTTATCCATCTCTTTTATTGATTGATGGGGACAGAGCAATTACAGCTGCAATAACTGTTTGGCTCGCAGTCACATAGTCTTCAGCTAGTTCAAAAAAGCTTTTAAACACTGAACTATAAAGTACCAGCACACCAACTTCTTCAGTTCATTATTCCAAATTCTATCCTGATGGCTCTTTAAATCTGAGCAGTTTGTACAGAAACCTGATAACACATTATCAAGGATAGCTATTGTGTCATTAAATTATATCAAACTTTCCATTTTACTGTTTATATTGTTTTTCAACTGCCATCATCTCTACATTTTACTATCCAGACCACGATTTTAAATTTCTGTCATCTTTATCGATTTGTTTTTCCTTCTAATCTCGTTCCCCTATTCTCCTTGAGTTTCTGCTGAATAGCACAGTACTGAAGCATGCCTGAGGTAGAGGTACTTTTTCATGGTACTGGATGCCATCTGTGGCATTACCCAGTGGAGTCCTGTGGCTCAGTGGTTAGAGCACTCATCTTGCAACCGAGAGACCTGGGTTCAATTTCCGGCAGGGTGAAATGTTGGGCAAGTTTCCTTATTCCACCCGTCTCTGTTTACCTAGCAGTAAGTAGAAACCTGGTTGTTAGTCAATTGGCAGATAGACAATTATTATTTTTTTAAAAAACTGGTCACTTCAATCTACGTCTGTTTGTGGGACAGTGTTGTGCGCAATTGGCTGCCATGTTCATGGGTGAATGTTGGTAGTGAGAGTCATCAGAGAAAAAGAGAGCATGTCCTTTGACCCCTCCCTGTCTTTATCGGTGGTCAAGTCTTCAGCTCCTACACCTCTGGAACTCCCTCCCTCTTTCCTTCGGTCTCTCCCCCATCCCCTCAATTTGTCTTTAAATCTAGCCTTAAATTCTACCTCTTTGCCAACACCTACAATCACCTCCTCCTCCCCCTACATTTTCCTTGTTCAGCATCTGACCCTGTCTTTGTAAAGCCCCCTGAGACATCATCCTACATGAAGGATGCTATATAAAAATCCAAGTTATTGTTATTTTCCTCTGTTCTTAAAAAAACTAAGATTTTTTCACAGTTCTGCACAATCTGATATTTTGACGTAAAAAGGTCTTACAAGCTAGGGACTAGGTGAAATTCCAAGTGTATTACATCAATTTTCAAATGCACTTTCCTGTATGGGTTATTGGATAGCGTCCAGGAAGAGATACCCTAGCTGATTTTAACTATTCTCTGGCCCAGGGTTGCTGAAGCCAATTGCAACCTCTAAACACAAGCTGAGGATCAGGTAACTCAGCACAGAATGAACAAGTGATCTTCCTGTTCTGATTCACTCAATTTGACATCGAAAATGGCTTTCAAAACAGAGCCATCAAGGGAGCAATGTTTTGTCTTTTGACTGAAATTGCAGTGGACAGCAGTTTATGAGAGGAAGAGATGATGACACCGAGCTGATTTTACATCACTCACAGTACAGTTACCAAAGCTAGGCAAGTTCACACTAAAGAGAAGACTCCAGGGAGATCTTATTGAAGTTTTCAAAATCATAAAAGATGCAGACAAGCTGAAGTCTAATAATGTTTACAACATAATATAATAATATGTTCTACAACAAGGGACACACACAATTTAAACAGTTTAATTATTTTACAGAGTGGTGAAAATGTAGAATAGATTTCCCAGGGAGGCAGTGATGGAAAACTGTGTTGACAAATATAAGAGAGAATTAATAGCTGTTTGGTGAAGAAATCGATTGTGGGTATGCATGTTAGAGTAGTGCATGTGTTCTTTTAACCTTTGGACTGGCCAGTTGTTCTGTGCAATCCAACATTCCTATGTTTGCACTCACATGGTACAGAGAGAAATGGAGAGCTATTCTCTGAGGGTACCTTGTCTTTATTATGCTCAAGGTTCTATATTGCAGGATAAAACACCTGACATTTTTCATTACGTGTATCAATGGATAATGGCAGAACTATTGACTTGTGCTGGGAAAGTTCATTTATGACACATTTGCCTATTACCACTTCTGAGTGACTGCTTAATGCTTTTTTAGTAAGTGGGCTTGCAAAGATTAAATACCCAATTTACCTGCACAGTTTATTGTATTAGCTGCAAGAGCTCTTCCATGAGGCCGCAAAATGCTTCATTCTCTATCAGCCCTCTGTTACGTACTTACTGCTTACTCACTGATAAAAAGAGATCAATATTTAGGTAATTATTTAGCAGTTGCAGCAATATAACACCTTTGACAAGATTACTCTGGATGGGGTTGAGAAAGCATTTTTTCACAGTAATCGACTGCATTGTGTACAGTATCAGCATTGGTTTTTAAGCATTTTAATTTTCCACAGTTGGAAACTTAAATCCCTCGATAGTAAATTGCATGAAATTATGCCATTGGAAAGAGCAGGCATCTGCTTCCTGCTTATTTTGCAGCTGCTTCAGTTCTGTTTCTGTTGTTGTTCTATTGCTTAACAACAAGAACAACAAAATTACATTTATAGAGCGCCTTTCACATTAGGAGGACGTCCCAAAGTGCTGAAGAATCAGATGTCGGAGCCCGAGCATGGGCGAGGGGTGGTGTAGGGGTGAGGGAAGGCAGAGAGGTGGGAGGGAAACCAAAGGCACGGTCGAAGAGAAGGGTCTTGAGACCGGCCTTGAAGGATACAAGGGAGGAAGCGAGGTGAAAGGACCGTGGGATGGAGTTCCAGAGTGTGGGGGCAAAGAGGCTGAAAATCCGGCCACCGATGGTAGGGCGGGTCAGGCCGGAACCTGATGAGCGGAGGGAGTGGGCAGTTTGGTAGGGAGTCAGCAGGTCAGAGAGATAGGAGGAGGCAAGGCCATGGATGCCCTTAAAGGTGAGGACGAGGATCCCAAAAATAGAGGTTTACTCCATTGTTGGAGTCCTGTAGCTCAATGATTAGAGCACTCCCCTGACAAGCGAGAGACCTGGGTTCGATTCCCAGCAGGGCGAAACATTGGGCAAGTATTCTTACTCCACACGCCCCTGTTTACCTAGCATTAAGTAGGAACCTGGTTGTTAGTCGATTGGCTTATCTTTCAAATAAATAATAATAATAAATTGGTCACTCAATCCACTACTGTTTGTGGACCACTGCTGTATGCAATTGGCTGCCGCATTTCACCCACAAAATATACAGTCAATTCACTTTACAGTATATTCTGTGAAGTGCTTTGAGACGTCTCGAAGACGTGATAAGGCGCTATATCAACTGCAAGGATTATTATTATTGTATCTATATATCGCCTACAAAATACACAGTCACTACACTTTTCAGTGTAGAAGCAGGAGCAGTCCCCATCCCAGAGTCAAGTGGGAGATACAGAGCAGTACGTGTACTGTAAGATGTGATAGTAGCATTATGCGATTTAAGCAAATTGCTTGACAAGCTTCGGAGAACCAAACAGATTGCCTTTGCAATCAATCTGCTGACTACCAACACTGGTCAGAGATCCATCACCCTTCCCGCGAAGGCACTGAATGATTCCTTGCAAAAGATCTGCCTAACAAGCAATTGGATGTGATTCAGGAATCACCCACTGTTGCTGATGTGCCACCTTTCTCTAAGGCTGACCCTGTGTATGTTTCCAGCATAGAATTCAATTAAAAACTCAATTACAGCTGCATTGTGCAGATAATGATTTAAAGCAATTGAGATTTAAATTATGATTTAAAATGTTACCTATAAATAAAGTATATTATTCATAATCTTTTATAGGGGCATTTGTAAAACAAACCATTTGATTTTTATTAACTTTTCAGGAGAGGGAATCTTAACATGTTGCAACATCTTTAAGCACTTTATTGTCAAGAATAGTGCCCTTTTTAAGGCAAACTAAGCAGCAATGCTCCACAACCAACCATGGGGTGAATGATGAATTAATTCATGAGGTCCCATCTACCTGTTCAGATCTACGTTAAGGTCTCACAGCACAATTCGAAAAGAGAAAGGAGTTTCTTGCAGTATTCTAGCCAACAACTTGTGAAACAAAACAAAAGTGTCTGTGGGACATTGTTGTGGGCCTATTGGCTGCTGCATTCACCTACCAAAATGTACACAGTCACTACAATTTACAGTGAATCCTGTGAAACACTTTGAGACATCCTCCCAACAAGAAAGGCAGTATATCATGTGTAAGGATGGTTAGTATTATTGTAATAATCAGGAGAAATGTTGCCAGCTGAGACAAGTTGATACCAGAATATTATTATTTGTATAATTATTACTACAATAATACTAACAATCTTCACATATTTCTTGCGCTTTGAGACATCTAGAAGACTTGAAAAGCACTATATCAAATGCAAGGATTATTATTAGTATTATTTTTGGTAACAAGAATGTTAATGCTATAATTCTTCATAACTGCTCGATTCCAAAAGCAATCCAAAAGTTGAGATTCCCTCTTTCCCCAAAAAATGAGATTCCCTCTTTCAACAACACATGTTATCTTTCTCTATCCCAAACCTCCTTTACCAATTGATACCCATTCTCTAAAATTTGTCTCAGTTATTTCTGGCATGAAAGCAACAATAGTTTTTCTAACTCTTAGGAAACCCTTTTGATTTCGGAGCAAAACCTGCTTTTCCAGGCACACTGGGAGTTGTTTTTTGGTTCCAAATTCAGCGATATGGGTGAAAGCAACTAAAAGCTGCTGGTTGTCATATTAGTTGTTGAAGTTTAACAGTGTTAATGTTCTGAGGACCTACGCTTTATCTATCTAGGTTGGAGTTTCAGCATGGGTTCTGCCTACCAGTTCCACAGTTGGCGAGTGTTTGTCATTGTCTGCGCTCTACCTTGTGTCTCCTCTGTGGTGGCGCTCACCTTCATGCCTGAGAGTCCTCGATTCCTGCTGGAGGTAAGAAACTCGCAACTGAGGAAAGACTGGACACTGCTTTAGTGGATTATGAAAGTGGACACATATACAAATTTAATCTTGTTGTTGTTTATCAGTCGGGAATTACATAACTGTCTAAATTGTGGGTTAGGTTAATTGTCCATGAGCTCGCTATGTACCAATGTAATTAGATGTCCTGATCAATGGTCTGGCTCTCTACCAACTCCTATGCCACTACAAATGCTAGCAAGTGGGCAAGAGGAGTATGGGGTAACAGTCTCTGATTTTCCTTTCTCCCTGGGCTCATGGAAGAGACACGTGAACCCACTCTGCATCTATTGCTATGGGTGAGAATGTTCTCTAAGGGGAGTCACCAGTGTAAGTGCCCATTCTCCCCCTGTGTTGAATCCGCTAGTTCCCCAGTGCACTGTGTCAAAACCCCTGACTTCAAAATGGAATATTATTATATTCAATTTTATATTCACGTAAAATAACTGTGGAATATGAACATACAATTTTCATGCCAAAGTGATGTGGATAATTAATTTTGGTCAACTGGGTGTCTGACTCACAGGAAAACTCATCACTATGTTGAGGAGTCTCCAAACCAAATTATTGAGAGTTCCACATAGTTCCCTAGAACTTTACAGCACAGAAGAAGGCCATTCGACCCATTGCGTCTGTGCTGGATCTTTGAAAGATAGTTACTAGCTGGCAATCTTGATAATTCAAACTCACCTTTAAATAATTAAATGACATTATGCATGTACTTAATTTTACTACCTTATTGCCTTACCTTACAGGTTGGTAAACATGATGAGGCCTGGATGATTCTGAAGCAAATTCATGATACCAATATGAGGGCCCGAGGTCAACCAGAGAAAGTTTTCACCGTAAGTACGGGTACAGGACAGGCTTAACTTGATAAATTATTGACAGAAGTTGCAGCAGACTTCAGCTATATGTGAGGTATCTAATAGAAAGGATGTTTTCTGTAATCAACTGTTTCTATTCACATTATATCGCTCATTGTATCACATTGTATCATTGTATCACAGTGAAACATATGCTACCTTGTGTGAAGGGCACTATACAAATGCAAGTTGTTGTTGTTGTATCATACTCCAACACAGTGAGTGGGGTTGTGCAATTGTATTGTACAAGCACCGGCCAAGGACTGACATGCTATCCCTGTACGAAAAAGCTCTTAACCACTCCTCAGTGCTTCTGCTAGATAGCATTTCTGGATCAGGAGTTGACACTATAGGAAATCAGGGACATTCTGCACTGCATATCATTGTGGAATGTCAATATACTGGACTAACCAGGACAGAATACTCCAAATATTCTATAGTGTGCACAATCCTCAACGTAGGGTCCTCCCGACATGAAAGGCGCTCTATAAATGTAATTTTGTTGTTGTTGTTGTAGAAAGTGAATGCAATAATTAAGGTCAGGGAAATATTTCTGTAGATTGGCCAGGGGAGGAAAGCAGAGACAACAACAAGAACAGCAAATTACATTTTTATAGAGCCTTTCACATCAGGAGGATGTCCCAAGATGCTGAGACAGTTAATACCATCACTGGATCATTTCCAAAGTGCTTGTTAAGCACTCTGAGTCACTACCCCACATGAAGAACATTATATAAATGCAACTTGTTGTTTGGACTCCTTGTCTGGGGAGTTGGAACTAAACCAAACCATCTTAACCAAACTGGCCACATTATTAGAGGAGTCAAGCATCAGGACTGGCCATTGAATGAAGTGTGCATAACATTTACTTTCCACGTGATTTTGCAAGTTTGAGTGAGCAGGAGAAGTCGTGGAGTTTATGCTGCAGGTCAGATGCTTTGATGTAAGAGATGATAAGAAATGAGACGATTTAACAGCAGATAACATGCTGCTTGGTTTTGATGTTGAGTCCAGTGGTTTAAATAAGTTTAAAATATCAGACTGAAATATGTAAGCTATTCTCCCTTTTAGAATAATAGAAATTACAGCAAAGTCATTTGACCATTCAACCATGTGGGTGCTAGACCGTATTATCCAACCAAATAATCAGTCTGAAAACACTGCAAGAGATTTAGTTACATTCTAGTAAATATTTAAATATTTCAAATATTTAAACATATTTGTTAGTCCATAAAGCACCTACCATAGGCTATTGTTTTCACAGGTTCATAGAATCAAGACTCCCAAACTGATTGATGAACTGATCGAGATCCAAACGGACACAGGCAGTTGGCATATGAGGTGGTTTGTTCGAATCAAGACTGAAATGTGTGGAGTGAGTTAAACAAATCTGAAATTTGGTTTGTACATATTAAAATTTATGTTGTTGCTGTAATAATAACAATAATGATATACAAACAATACAACTCGCATAATAGACCCCATTGTCCTGCTAATGATAGAACATGTCTGAAATGATTGGTGACTGTAACCTTATCCTGTGTTTCAAGCACAAAAATAGGTTTACTCACAACGTCACCAAAAAATGTCTGGATTCTATTTCACTCAAGGCTGTTTTAATGCTTAATTATATGTGGTTCAATCAATTACTAACTAATCTATTAAACATCAACTGAAAACACAGAAAATGCTGATAGTTAATAAGTCAGTGATTGACATCCCTAAATGCAAAAAATTGGACCTGAGACTATTTCCACCCAAAGTCTAATTTGCAGAACATTAAAATATTGGCTGGCTGGACCATTAGAGAGAGATCCGATCCAGCTAGCCGGAATTTCTGGCTAAGTGTAATTACAATGCTGGTATCAATAAGCATGGTGAGGCAGGGGCACACGCGAGGAGAGTTGGGCGGGTTGGAGTCTATATGGGCCGGCTGAAATTTTAAAAAAAGAACTTCCGTTTAGGGCCCGATCTGGCTAGGTCCAAATTCTGGGTACGCGGAGTCTGCTAAGACCAGGGTTTACTGTATTTTTTTAACAAGATATCTCTAAGAAGAAATAAGAAGAAATGGGTGTTTGTTTATCAAAATTCAAAAACAACAAAGATTGCATTTCTTAGCACATTCAATGTTTTAGAAATTCACTAATGCCACATTTCTTCTTAAAACAATCAAGAAATACTAGGCAACCCTGATAGTGTAATGGATAGAGCTGGTGATTTGAATCCCACTTTGTGCTGAGTTTACTAGTCTCAGACAGGTTGCATGGGTTGGCTAAATTGGCCTTAGGGTTTCTGGGTTAGGGAAAGAAAAACCTGGCAGGGTTTCTGCTCCTGGTCCCTCTACAGCACCCCCTATTGGTAGTACATGTTTGGCAGCTGGTGGGGAGAGGTTCAAGTTCTGAAATAACATCCTGTACAATTAAATGGCCTGCCAACACTCACCTGGCCTGCTGAGACTCACACATGAACAGGGGCCTCTCGAGTGGGATACCAGATGGCAATCATTGCCCGTGGAACCATCCCTAACATGGGGAGCTTGGGGACCAGCAGTAGAAAAGCATATGCCATGCAGGAGAAAATATAGAAAAACATAATTGGACACACTAAAATCTGAACAAAAAAACCTAGAAAACAAATTCCCTTGCACTGTCACGCCTTCTAGGTTCAACCGTTGAACACAATGAAAGGAACACGATCCTCAATGTATTGTTTTGCCTTTTTAACAGATTTGGATGACATTTACAAGGTGCTTTGACTACCCAGTTAAAAGGAACACCATCATGCTGATAATTGTTTGGACAACACTGTCCTTTGGGTAAGTTTTGCTGCCGTTGTAAAGGCACATCTTACTTTGCCATATGTTTTCTTGGATTCAAATATTTACATTTGATGAAAGATATGTACCGGCCAAGAATCTCACGTGTTAAATGTCTCACAAGTCAGTCCAATGGGATAGTTTCATGGTCATATTGACTAATGGATTATGGTTTTGAAATGAAAATATTTAGGCATTCACTTATAAAATACAGTCACAATACTTACAGTAAATCCTCCTCCTGAAGTGAAAGGCGCTACAATAATAATAGTCAAGTTTGCATAATGTTAAGTGAAAATTAATTAATATTATTATCGTCCTAATGTTATATTGGTGGCTGGTCCGGGCTGTTCTTAGTATGTTTTGTACGCATTTGAATTTTTTTGTATTGTTGTAGCCGTATAATATTATAATTTGTCTAATATTATGCAAATTTGCAGTACATTACAAAAGATCGAATAATGTTACGGCATTGTTCCAGGACCTGAAAATCAGAATGAAGAGACAGGCGGATAATCCAATGAGAGCATGGGAGAGCAGTGTAATAATAATCCTTAAATTTGATTTTGTACCTTTCACATCAGGAGGATATCTCAAAGTATTTGCTATATCAAATGCAACCATTATTATTTATCACATCTCATAATTTGTCAGGTTTTGAAAAAGGGGCAAAGATCATTTGAACATGCATTTTATAAGTTGAAAATCTATTGAAGCCTCTTCCTGGTTTCACTTTCACCACCTGGGAATATATTTTTCATCACACAAGTGTTAGTTCTGATCTGTTTTAAGCTTGTCTTATTGCTATTCAGAGTTTGCACTCTTCAGTTAATTAATCACTTATGAAACCTTCCATTATCTGTGTTATGCTATCATGCATTCCCTTATTTTCTCTCAAGCATCACTAAACAGATTTAATTATATAAACAGCAGAGTATTCTGGCATGTTGCTTCCTGTACATTAGCTAATGTCTTAAACAACATCGTCAAGTTTCTACCATGTGCATTATCGGAAGCAGCCTGGCCCAATTTGTATCACTCTCTTCTCTGAGTCTGAAGGTTGTGATTCAAGTCAATATTGAGACTTGGAACATAGTCTATGCTGTCCTCCCTCCAATGCAATGCTGGGGGTGTGCTCCCTCATCAGAGGTGCTGTCCTCCGGATGACATGTTAAACCAAGATCCCATCTGCTTGTCCAAGTGGAAGTTAAAGATCCAATGACACTACTCGATAAGTGAAGGTAGTTTCTTCCAGCATCTTGGCTAACAGTCTTCCAAATAAAATTGATTATTCATGCCATGGCTGTTTGGTTTGAATGCTTCAAGATGCTATCCTGTGATAAGAGCACAATACAGTATATCTAAATGCAAGTTGTTGTTGGACATTGGTGTGCGCAAATTGACTCCTGCTTTTGCCTGCAAAATAAAATGACTAATCCTATGAAGAACTTTGACATGTATACTTTGTCCAATGTACAAAACACTGCGTCAAATGTGACAAATATTACTATTTATGAGTGATAGTCCTACAGAAAGAAATTCTTAAATCTATTCTACATTGTTTTGTACAGTTACTACGGCCTCTCCGTCTGGTTCCCAGATGTCATCAAACATCTTCAAGCTGACGAATATGCATCCCGAGTGAAACGGTTTGACGGGGAGAGAGTAGAAGATTTTGTATTCAATTTTACACTGGAAAACCAGATCCACCTCAATGGTGAATACATCAGAGACAGGTCAGGATTTCTTGGGTCATTCAACTCTGTGCATCCCAAGAGTAAAAGTTATTTTTAGGAATTTGAAAACACTCATCTAGTAGGGTTATTTCACTATTATACTAAAAAGGTTATTTTAATGGACACATTGTAGTTTTAATCAGAAATTAAATGTTCACAATATTGTGGTATGTTAATTAACACTGGAGTAAATATGTTAACTTATACTGGGGTTAATTAACACATTGCCTGGTCCCTCATGTTTTGGGGGCTGGTTTATGGGTTTGACCCCTCCTTACTCCATCACCTGAAGTCAACCATTGTTATCTAGCCAAGACTGTTTTCTTGGCTAGATAATGATGTGTAGAGACCTAAGGAAACTATGATCAAAATAAAGGATTTTTTTTTAAAAAGCAGAATCTCCTCTCAACAAAACTACGGCTGGAATGATTTAGAAATACTGTACTTTCTATAAGTCAATGCAAAAGTATATTTTCTCTCTAAACAGGTTTTCTCACATGAAGTTTAAAGCTGTAACCTTTGAAGACTCCCTCTTTAAGAACTGCAAATTTGAAGATACCACATCCTTAACTACCTACTTCAGGAACTGCAGCTTTATCGAAACTCTTTTCTATAATACAGGTGAGCATATAACCCAGCTTGATTCTGTATCAGTGGTAGATACATACAAGTCACATTCGGCTCACAAATTCAAGCCCCGGCCCCAGCTATTCAACAAACCCTCACTTTAATCAATGGGATCTAATTTGTGATATTTCCTTTTTAAAAAAAATCGTGCTATATGAATGCATGTTGTTGTTTAATGTCCAGCATAGACAGCATAGATGTCATGTACAAATTGTCTCCTTCTGTAGCACATGTAATTTCCATCATTCTGTGCTAGCTGTACATTTTATATTTGTTTTTGTTTTGCTCGCAGATCTTGAGGACTCTAAATTCATTGATTGTCAGTTCATCAACACTACATTTCTACACAGTAAGAAAGGCTGTCAAATTAGTTTTGACGAGGACTACAGTGCCTACTGGATTTATTTTGTCAACTTCCTAGGAACACTGGCAGTGTTACCAGGCAACATAGTCTCTGCACTACTGATGGACAGGATTGGACGACTGACAATGTTAGGTACAGTTCTACTCTCATTTTTTATAAACATTTATCTGAAAGAGTAACATTCTGAGCTGGTCATTAGCATGCGTTTCTGGATCTAGTCTTCCCTCACTTCCGTAACATCGCCCGACTCCACCACTAACTCACCCCTCAGGCCGTTGAAACTCTTGTTCATGCCTTCATACCTCCAGGCTCGACTATGCAAATGCCCTGCTTGTCAGCCTTCCCAACTCCTCCCTCCACAGGTTGCAGATAATCCAGAACTCTGCAGCCCGTGTCCTCTCCCGCACCAAACTCCGTGACCCCATCTCCCCCAATCTTGCCCGACTCCACTGGCTCCCTATCCTTCAGAGGATCCAGTTCAAGATCCTGGTCCTCACATACAAAGCCTTCCATGACATCGCCCCACCCTACCTCTGCGACCTCCTAACCCCCTACCAACCAGCCCATTCCCTCTGCTCAGCCGGCTCTGCCCTGCTCCATGTCCCCCGACCCACCTGCCCCATCCGCCCCATCATTGGTGGAGCGCATTCAGCCACTCTGTCCCCAACCTCTGGAATTCCATCCCACAGTCACTCCACCTCGCCCCCTCCTTAGCCTCCTTCAGGTTCCGCCTCAAGACCCTCCTCTTCGACTATGCCATTGGCCACCCCACTTTCCCTCCCCTCCCTTACCCTCCCAACCCCAGCTTGGGTCTGAAATGCTGTACTATGTCCAGCGCCTTGGGACGTCCTCCCGACGTGAAAGGCGCTATACAAATGTAATCTTGTTGTTGTTGTTTTTGTTGTTGTAGTCATGTGAGTTTATAGATGAATACAATCACCAAGTGATTCAAACTGATTCAGGTTTATTTACAAATAGAAAGCCACTACACAAAGACAAGATGTTGTAATTTGCGCATGAATTTTTAAACATTATTGATGAAAGAGTTTCATAGGAATACAGAAAAGTACAGAACCAGGGAAAATATTGTCTTCAATCTGGCAAGTAACTCATGCTATATAGCCATGTCTTGAATTTGACACAAATCACGGCACAGACATGCACTCAATGATAAAAGCCAACCAGATCACTGCAGGCAGTTATAATAGTAGACTGGTACTGAAATGACCAGATCAATAATTCTGCTAAGATTGAAAGATTGTCTGTGATGTTTTCCATTCACTTTTGCTCTGTAAGGCTTGAAAGCTGTTTTCATCATTCAGCTCTTTGACTTGGTAGTTGCATTTGATATACACCAGGGTAAACAAGTGGTGAAGAAAACACAATAAAGAAGTGGAAATTATCTAGAAACCTCAACCCTTACCTGCCATCATCTACAACTTCAGTATTCAACGAAGCCCTTATTTGCTCAGTGATGGGAATGTCTTAGCCCTGTTTGACAGAATGCACAGAGAATCCATTACCTGCACTAAGATTCATTATAGACTAGGACCATGCAGCAGAAATGGGATTAAAAGATCTGCTATGATTGAATAAAATAGTGGAACAGTCTCAACGTGATAACTGGCCTGCTTCTGCTCTAGTTGTCAACACTGCATCAGTCTAAAACATGTACATAGAATAAGTAAAAGCTTTACTCTTTGCTCATGGAATTGTTGATTCTTGGTTCCCAAACTATCTCTTTATTTCTGATGTTTTTAAGGTCCCAAATCAAACCCCTCAGTGCTGAATTAGCTGATCTCAGCTTGCAGTTGAGGTGACCACAGTTGGCTTCAGCGCTCCTGGGTTAGAAAGAGAAAACACAGCAACTATCCCACTCATGATCAGGAGAGAAGGGTCAGAATGCTGAAGGGGTAAACTGACACTGGGAAAACTGGGGGAAAAAATTCTCGCGACTGTTTGTAAACAAAGGCCAGAGGTGAAGTAAATGTATGAGAAATTAATGAGGATTTAATTTATACATGGAGTTCCACTGATAAGATTGAGGAATTCATTACATATTTTCCCTTACCCTAGAGAGCATGGCGCTGTTTACTCTTTTCTATGAGGAACTTACCTTGAGTATTGATTTTCCCCTCAGGTGGCTCCATGGTTCTCTCTGGAATCAGCTGTTTTTTCCTGTGGTTTGGTACTAGTGAGGCCATGATGATTGGCATGTTATGCTTGTACAATGGTCTGACCATTTCAGCGTGGAACTCTCTCGATGTGATCACCGTGGAGCTTTTGCCGACAGATAGGAGGTGAGAATGTAGATCAGGGACCATTTCTTCTTGCAAGGGTCTCTTTCCACTGTGTTATCTAAAACAACTGGATACTGAAAAATCTTTTTTGTTCTTGAAACCATGCAACAATGCACCTAATCTGTATATACTGCTTTTTCATTACAGGTTAGCTGGTAATTTGTTAAAGTAAAATTACCTGGATCTTTTCTATAATAATCCTTGCATTTGATATAGTGTCTTTCGCTTCAGGAGGATTTACTGGAAAGTATAGTGACAGTATTTTGGAGTCAGATCTTCTGTTGCCACTATCCAACAATTAAGTATTTGCATCGCTGACTACAACATGATGTTAAAGATCCCATGACACGATTCTAAATGAGAAAGGAGTTTGTCCTGGCCAACAAACCCTCACATAAAATTGATCATGCATCTTAAGGCTGTTTATAGATCATTGCTGTGTGTAAATTGGCTGTTGAGTTTATCTACACTTACTCAGTCACTACACTTTACAGTAAATAATGTGAATCAATTACTATCTCATTGGTACCAACTGCCATCTCATTCCCAATTCTGCAAAAGTCAGAAGTGATTTGATATCAGCATGAGACATATATTGGCATCTTAATAATAATAATAATAATAATAATAATCCTTGCATTTTGATATAGAGCTTTTCACGTCGGGAGGACGTCCCAAAGCGCTTTACAGAACACACTGTAAAGTGAATTGACTGTATATTTGTGGGCGAACGCGGCAGCCAATTGCGCACAGCAATGTCCCACAAACAGTCGTAGATTGAAAATGACCAATTTATTATTGTTTTTGGTTTTGGAGATATTATTAGGCGTGTGGAGTAAGGAAACTTGCCCAAGGTTTCGCCCTGCCTGGAATTGAACTCAGGTCTCTCACTTCCAAAGCGAGTGCTCTAACCACTGAGCTACAGGACTCCACAAATTATTAGAATTTTAGAATCTTAGAATTATTCAGCATAGAAGGAGGCCATTCAGCCCTGTACCGGCACTTTGAAAGAGCTGTCCAAATTAATCCCACTCCCCCATCTTTCTGAATTATTTTAATGATCAGCACATTGTGTAAAAGTGGTATTATGATGAAGTTGACATGAGTTAAAGACACTCACCAGTTACTTGTAGGTACTCAAGAGTAGGTCCACCAACCATTTTTCTTCGTACCACTTTTACATGGCTGATATGTTGACAACTGTACACCTGCTGTGCAGTAAGGACGAATGTTCTACCCTGAGGTATTCCTGGCAGAACACTTTTGGGGGTTTGCATTCCATTTCAAACGTCACTGGTCAATGCAACAAACGATAACCCATAAATCCCAGAATTATTTAATGTAACTATCGGGTCGCACGATGTGGGCATCACCGTAAGCCTAAGAATAATGATAATGTTGATCCTTGCATTTGATATAACACCTTATCACATCATCAATATGTCTGAAAGAGCTTCACAGACTATACTGTAAAGTGAATTGATTGTATATTTTGTGGGCGAAACCCAGCAGCCAATTACATGCAGCAGTATTCCACAAACAGTCATGGATTATTTAACCAAATTATTATTTTTTTTTAAATTTTTTTGAAGGGATTATTACCCAGAGAAACGCAATCTGCCAATCGACTGTAGTAGGTGAACAGAGGTTTGTGGAGTAAGGAAACTTGCCCAATGTTTTGCCCTGCCCGGGAATTGAACCAGGGTCTCTCGCTTGCAAGGCGAGTGCTCTAACCACTAAGATGAACCACTAAGGACTCCACAAGTATAAATATAATATAAAAGGCGAATGATATCTGCAGCTTGGACTAACTGCAAACTCTGTGTGCATCATCAGGGTGATTTAGAAAAGGAAATTGTACAACATTTCATGTGTACATTTGTAAAATATCATTTCCATGATGCAAAGGGCAACCGGACTTCAAGCCAAAAGCAAACCCTGAGTCTAAAATAGCTCTGGAATAATATGGCACAGTCAATTCCTAATTACTTTTACATCGCTAATGTCATCTCAGAAACAAAATGTAATCTTCTGGTGACTAATAACATGTTATTCTGCTGGGTATGATTAATTAAATACAGAATCGAGACGTTACCATTATGGGAATGAAAACAGTCGTCTGTTCAGCAGTTTGCTTAATTAACTTTCTTTTTGTGCTTCCGACTGCCCAATGTACTGTGTGTGTGAAACCCAATGAGATGTCACACACGCTGACCTTGTTCCTGCAGGAATTTAAAATAATTACAGAAACAGCACAAAAACACATTTAGAAAAATGGGTTTGAAATGGTAAGGATTTGGGCCAATTGGGTTTTGCCAGCTAGTTGTGCAATGGTAGCTCAAGTCCCAGTGATCTGGATTCTGCCCCATTTATGTTGCAATGTGGATCACAGTAGGGACATCCTGGCATTGCACAGGGTCTATTAAAAGACAATGAAACTTAGAGTTGGAATTAAGCACCTGCGTTATGAGGCAAGAAGCTGGAAATATTCACATAAAAGAGAAGGTTTAGAGGAGATTTTATTGAGGCATCCAAGATCTTAAAGGGTACAGATATACTGAACCTTAATAATTTGTTTAACATATTGTTTTAAATAAAAACACACAATCACTCCACTTTATGGTCTATCCTTTGAAGCACTTTGGAACGTCCTCCTGATGTGAAAGTCGCTATACTAAACGTAAGGATTATTATTGTAAATAAACTCTGCGACAAGAGAACATTGGTTTGTGGTCAGAAAAGTGAAAGTGAACAAACAGTTTGAATATAATTCTTTTTACTGAGAGAATGGTGATTGTGTTTAATGGACACCTCAAGAAGGAGATAGGCACTTCAAAAAGGATTTGCATAGCTATGACACGTATTTTGGACTCCTACGTTATAGAAGTATGCATTGCGACCTCATTATAACATGATGTTTGGGTCTATAAAAGTAGACCTCTCGTTATAACAGGTCCGCAGAAACAAATGACAATCAAGCCCATATCTGGGTCGTCGGGTTGTTGCTGGTATAACTTGTTGCTGCCCCTCATTTTGTTTAACCTTCATGAGAAAAGTACTTGATCAACTGAACATTCGGAACAAGTGCGTCTATTTTCATTACAAATTATTGTGTTACATTAAAAATAATTAAGCCCCACTATTTTGTGTGTTTCAGAGCTACAGGATTTGGCTTCTTGAATGCACTGTGCAAAGCTTCGACTGTCATGGGAAATCTCATCTTTGGCTCTTTGGTTGGTATTACCAAAGCAATCCCTATCCTACTCGCGTCCACAGTCCTTGTTTGTGGAGGCCTCGTGGGACTCCGGCTTCCTGATACAAGAAACCAAGTGCTGATGTGATCAGGTAAAGAAACCTGATCGATTCTTAGGTGCCCAGCTTTGGTGATCCAGTGAAATATTTGATTAAATGGCCTGCAACATAAGAAAATAAAACTAATGTCACACACAAGTACGTCGCCTGGTCCTATGCTCCCCCGGAGATTCCTTTCCTGGTGTATTGATGCGCTATCTGAACTATACTCACACCTTTTTCATTTAAGATCAAGTGATCAGTGAGGCTGCAATACACATACACATGTACACTGGAATTTGTGTGCTTGAGAGAGTGTAAAGTAGGAGTGGAGAATCTGGTGTGACAGTAGGTTTTAATCCAGTGCATGACCCTGTTTATGACCCACTCTGTATTCATAAGGCAATTTAAAACCACCCCAGATATCAGTCCAAACATTATCAAATGCATCAGATCAGCATGGTACTAGAGCAGTGCAGTATTAGGAGCAAATAGACATTTATTCCCAACGAGGGGTTTGCAGGAGCCAAGATATTAATGTTGTTATAATATGAACCCATTCCATCCCCTACCTTTCAATTAATTGTAGTTTGCAAATTAATTTGATGTTTTATATTATATATATATTTATTTATATTCCTATCAATGGGCAGTGTGTATATTCTGTTTGTTTCTATGGGAATAAAAAAAATGATCATTGCAATGCAAAAACCAGCTACCCATCTTTTGTCCATTTTATTTTCCAGTTTTTATACCCTTTTATAACACTGCATGAAAACTCACTATTATAGATCTGACTATTAGCGATCATGAGTAAATGACCCATCAGGGTGATTGCAATACTCCTCAGAAATGAAATCTTACAATATCTTCCACCCCAGTTGTACATAGCTGGCCCATTCTGGTGAATTATATTCACCACTAGAAACAATTATTAACATAATAATCCACAACAGTGAAAAGCTTTGAACTGTAAATGCTCTGACAAAAGATCATTTTAAAACAAGAATGTACAAAATCAGCCAGTTGGTTACTATACATTTTTATATCATCTCCTCATGTACAAACAAATCGTTCATTTACTTATCCATAACACAAAATAAAAATCACACGTTGATCAAACACAACCCCTAGTGTGTGTCCATTTGTTTATTTCAAACCTAAATGGCCTTTGACCTCATGTTTGCCTGTAAAATATGCATTGTGCCTCTCATGATATTGAACTATTAAAAATGAAATATTTGCAATGGAAATGCTAGAACTGGATATTATAAGCAATTATCAATGTCTAAAATTAAATGTAATTTTAAAATGATCAGAATTATTTCAAATGGAATATAGTTTTATTAAATATGTCTTTGTTTCTGTTGAGTATCAGAAAGGCTTGTGTGTTTTCTGATGAATCATTTCATATGTGACAACCCAATTCTGCTCTTACCTGTAAAATGACAGTTAACAATTGCATTGTGAAATGGAGAGATCACAATTTATGTAATAGTACATCTTAAATTTAATATTGCCTTAATAAATGGAAAATAAAAAAGGAATGGTTTGGGCACACCTTTTTCCGTTTAATATCAAACAAATACAGGTTTGTTTTAAAATTCAATGTGTTATTCCAGTCCTGTTCTTTACAAAAGTGCAAGATAAAGTTGCAACATTGTTCTCAACAGAAGTATGATAGGTATTGCTTTCACTGGAAGAATACTGCTAAAATAATAACCACCACCCAAAGTAGCTAGCCATGGTAAAGTCATTTATATTTCAAAGGCCTTGTCACTGTGTTAATCAAAGATTCCATCCTTACAGAGAGGGAGGAGGAAAGACGTGTTAGGATCATCTTTGGAATGCTTGCCTTTGCTGAATCCCCTGTAATGTTTGGGAACTACATTACCTTGCAATTATTCTTCCAATGATAAGCATGCTTCACATATTTCTTCTGGTTTGTCCTGTAACACTTTAATCTGAGACAATTCTGGAGCTTGGCTCTGAAATGTTTTTTTTCTTAATAACAACTTAGAAACAGAGATCAGAGGAGACCTGACCTGCCTGTCTTTCAATGGACAATACAATATGTGGAATTTTTTTGTTCCAAATTTGCCTCTGTATAAAGTAAATTTCATGGCAAGATCAAATTGGAGGCATTACATGAGAATTTTCTGCTGGGGTTACTACCAAATTCACTTCCCTAGTAGTGTTTCTCACAGTAACCTGCTGCAGCCTTGAGGATAGCAGCTTAATCGTTCTTTGGGCAATCTCCCCATTGAAATAATAGCACACCCAAAGGGCCAAAAGTTATGGTATTCCATAACACATTCCTTGTCTTAATTGGCACAAGGAATGTGTTAAGAAATATCGCAAGCTTCTCTTGGTCCATAATTAATGCCATATAAATTTAGATTTCTTCACTCACAATGTGACATTTATTAAGGAATTAGGAACAAATTTAATCAACACAAGGAACAGGTTAAGGAATACTATAAAGTTTGCCCCCAATAGTTTCGCATGTCCACATATGTCAGTTCTTAGACTGAAATTCACAAATACCTGACACCAGATCATAGGTGAAGTTCTCCTTCAGGGAAATTATGTGTTGATATTTGTATCACATTGGCAAACAAGGAAAGTTCAGGTCAAATACAACAATTTGTATTTATTTAGTGCCCTTCACCTGGGTAGCAACTTGGAGTGGAAGAGCAGTTTTACTGAGAGATCTCAATATAAACGGACAAATGGTCTTAACTTGGCATGTGGAACTGAAACTCTAAGATTGGATCTAAGCTCTCAAGCTTCAATACAAGGAAGGTCTGGATCTAAAATGTCCGATTAAATGATATATTTTCTTTTGTTCATTTTCAGGTTAAAGTGTTAATGGGTATAAGGGGTAATATGGTGAAATATCCAATGTGTCAGACCAAATTGCAAAACGTATCTATTATGAAATGTTGCATTTTTCACCTTTGTTTTCAGAAAGAGACTAACAAATTTCAAAACAGCTATTGTGCTTCACTGTGTAATATTTACCTGCCTCTGTAAAAACAGAATGAAAACTTTATGTCGGTGTCTTCCTCATGTTCTGGTGTTTTAAATATGTATGTGTAGTAAACCTAGTGCAGTATGTAACTGAGAACTCACTGCAGTTTTCTGTCCACCTGTCTCTGCCAGGGCCATCGCCAGAATTCAGTAGCCGGGAGACAAAACTCCTTTAACAATGCCATAATAATACATTAGCATTGAAATCAGAGCAGTTTGTAAACTCATAGAAATGAGAGAAAAAGTCCTTTAGTAAGTGATGCATACAGAATTTCAAACATTCTTAAAGAAATAATACTTCTGTCTACTGCCACCATATATCCAGTAAGGATAAGCTGTTCACAAATTATATATAATCCTCTTTAGATTCTTATAGTTTAAATCCAATACTATCATACAAAATCCTATAGGACTTTCCTATGCAGGCTTTATGTCAAAAAAAATTATGTACATATATTATATATACTGTAATTCCATACAATGGCCCCTTTAGAATGCTATAGTATTGTAACATTTTCTACAAATGTGACAAAGTAAAGATGTCTATAGGTATCATAAAATACTGAATTTGTTGTTTGTAACTGGCCATCGTATGTGTTCCAAGACCTACTTCAGCACTTTCACTTTACATGCTTCGAATCACAAATTAGATGGAAATTCCTCGTGAAGGCTGAGAGCAGATATCTGGAGACAAGGCTACATTAAATTTTACACATTGATGTAAAGGTATTTCATGCCTATTATCCAGAAAAAATAAAATGTTCTGCAGGACAAAGTATTTTAACATGGAAAATATTCAGATTAACTTAATTAATTTCATAAAAAATGTAAAATAACCCTCTAAAAGTACTAGAATGTCAAACAGAGTGGGCTTTTTCAAACATGCTTCTTCTCTTGACTTGTAACTTTGGGGTATTGTGATTATATCATAATACTTCAATTTCTTAAACAATAGCATTCATAATCTGGACAAAATCACAAAATTTTGTAGGGTATTGGCACCCAAAGTATTGGAAATGTATCCCTATTCATATTATAAAGGTATATCAAGTTTTATGACAGGAAAAGATCAACCGTTCTAACAAACCCATGGAGGATCTTTTTATTCTCAACCCCAACCTACCCACTTTTTCACCATATCTCTCAATCCCTTTCTCCCCAGAAACATGTCTGGTTTTGTCCAAGTTCTAAAACAATAATGACATAAGTGTGCAGCTAATGTACATTTAGAGCATCATATAACCCTGCTCAGAATAACAGGTTGCATTCCACCTAAGTGCAAAGTATTATATGTGTTACAGCAAAACACTTCAATTCTATTTACATTTCTTAAACTTTCAATAAGCATATTGATTTCAGAAATCCTCTGTTTAATTTTAGACCATCTAATAAATCATTGTTGTATCGCATCCATTGTCCCATTTTATTGGGGTGAAAAATGCAAATTTCATAACAATTTCAAATAATAATTCAAATCTGTTATGATTTGAATTTTTTTTCACCCATAATGTTTATGATGATGCTGAATACACATTTTACTGCTGTACCACCAACTGTACATCATAACATTAAACATATAGCTGGTTTAATAGCATAGATTAGTATAAGCCCTCCAAATTTGCAAATCATGGCACCTTTCCATGTTGCTGAAATATTAACTAATGAATACCTCCTAGAATTGTTGTGGCCCTTATACTTAAGTAATAATGTCCTAGATGCTGTTCTATGTATATAGTAATGTAGTTTGACTTTTGAGCATTCCAAGTCAAAAATTCTCTGAAATTCAATGCAGTTTTTCTGATTTATATTTACCTGATGAAATATTTCATCCATGTAGGAAACAATACTATAATTGTCATCATTGTCATTTGCATACACACAACATATAGACAGTGGTATTATAGCACTGAGTCTTTACAAGCTACACAAAGATGCAATTATATTAGGGTAAGTCCATGAAATACAATATAAGTGAAAAACAACTCAAAGACTAAAACCAAGCCAATGAGAGATAACATTGGGTGGCTGCAGCTCTTGCTCTAACAAAAACACTCACTCTGCTATGCATCAGCTCAATAAGAATTACTGAAAGGGCTTCATGTAGTTTCATTACTGGATTTCTGAGTGGGTGAATTTCTAGCATTTGTGATCCTTTGAGGATCTGATTTTCTACAGATGTACAATTTATAAAGATATGTACATTGAAAATTCAACCTATCTGA